CGGTGTCCTGGGGCCAGTGCCAGCAGGACCCAGAGCAGGGTGGCAGGAGCACGGGGTCCCAGCTAACAGGGGCTCTATGGAGCCAAGCCAGCTCCCCCCTCGCCCTGCTGGTGCAGCCCAGCCCGGCTCCTCAGACCCCTGCCAGCCTGCACCCTGCTTTGGGCCCCACCGGTGCTGGCCCTGGGACATGGGTCCCAAGATGGTGACCAGGGGGTGGGGCACCTGTCAAGGGGTGGGGCTACCCATGTGGCCCTCGACAGCCTGCCAGAACTGGGTAAGCAGCCCTCTGCCCGAAATAGTTGCCTGCCCCGATGTAGAGCAACCCTAGGGTTGCTGTAAGTGGTGCGACCTTAGAACCTCTGGACCTTTTTTGCAATTGTTCCTGTCTCCAGAACCCTACTGAAAGGGAGGTCCATACAACTCAGGCGGTTGTCCTCTGCTGCCTTTGGCCCAGCGTCTGTGTTGTTGAACTAGATTATGTAAAAGTTCATAAACCTTGGAGTGAAACAACGAATGCATCCAGCTTCCTGAGTTGTCTTACAAGCCAGAGTGCCAAATTCAGCCTTAGCCAATGTCATCAACTGCAGTGGAATTGTGCACCCACTTGCACCAGTGCTGATTTGGGCCCAAGGATTGTAATGTTTCTGAACTGCCCCATCTGTCTCTTATTTCCTGAAAAGCTGTGCTTGGAGTGCACATTGGATTTATAGGAAAAATATGTTAAATTTATAGTAGGAATTTGTACCGGCTACTTGGCAAAATCTAGTGCAACACTGTGTCAAAACACTGGATATCTTTAATGGTAAAAATGTAGGAAGTTTTGGGCCTGGACCTGGGCAGTATGGAAATGCCCACAGCTCTCCTAGGACTCAGGGGCACAAACCACTTCCCAGCAGGTGTTGCGCACTCTACAGTCTCCATGGAATTGGCCTAGAGGTAAAACCTCAAATTATGTTTCCTAGCAGCGCGGTATGTTTAGTAGGAGTTTACTGTACATCGATGCCACATTGGAAACATATGTCTTAAGGATTAGCGAGAATGTCACAGATCGGTATCTAGGGCTTGGTTCTGTTCTCAAACCAGATTTAACATCAGTGTAAATCCTTGGAGCTCAGTGAACCAACTCCTGGCTTCTCCCAGAACAAGAAGGCCCCTCGTCCACCATTCTCAATACTGCAGGGTTTTGTTTCTAGTCAACTGGAACTCAAATGTCCTTGGTGTAACTGTTAACTTTGATAGCATTTCCTCCTTGATTCCCATTAAATGTATTTAAAATTGTTCAACACCTACAGTGTTTTACATTATGTGGAACCTCTCCTGCAACTGTATGAACAGCTTGGAATATTTTAGATAGGATTTACCCTAGGTACTTGCATATAAATCAGCTTCTCTGTTTTATCACCACAAATAAGAAAACCATTATTTTGTTCTTATGTCAGTCCTCTTATATCTCTGGTCAGGAGACAGAAAAGAGCTATATTTCCTATTTGGAGTGTCAAAAGAAAATGGTAGGTAGGGTGGTATGATCATCATGGAAAGGGGAGGCCTCTTTGGTTGCCTCACAAAGACAGGTTGGCCTTCTTGCAAGGATCTGAAGAAAGATTATTGGGGGAAATGGCTGGGGTTTCTGGGGAACTGAATATAAAAAATGGAAAGTGTCAATCAACATCTGTCATTCTTTACTCAGTTTTCTAGTTGTAACTCCTCAATCTCCTTTGCAGCCGGAGAATCTGCTTTACTACAGCCAGGATGAAGAATCCAAAATCATGATCAGTGACTTTGGATTGTCCAAGATGGAGGGTAAAGGAGATGTCATGTCTACAGCATGTGGCACCCCAGGATATGTTGGTAAGTATTGTGGGTTATAATTAGTAGCTGTTGCTCTAAGGTACAATACAGAAGCCAAAACAAATAGATGGCAACATGACAAATGACAATACGTAGATTTAGTAGGTCTTAAACTGAAGTTTTCTAAAGTATGCTATTCCTTGAGTCTTTTTTTCTTCTCCAGGTCCCAATCCTCTATAGATGATGGGGAAAACAGTGGATGTGAAATACCTTAACTATAGCAGGGCTTTTGATATTGTCTCCCACAGCACTCTCATTAACAAGATAAGGAAATACAGACTAGATGGAAGTCCTGTAAGGTGGATACATAACTGGTTGGACCATCATGCTCTATGAGTAGTCATCAATGGCTCAGTGTCTAGCTGGGAGAAGGTATTGGGGCTGGACTGGGCTGCGGTGGTGCGGGCTGCGGTGGTGCTGGGAGTGGGGGCTACAGCCAATTTTGGGATGGCTCTAGCCCCCTCTAACCCTCCTCCGAGTACCACCGCCACCCACCCCAAGTGCAGCCCAGCCCAGGCCCCTGCCACAAAGAGCCTGGCGTAGCCCCAGCCCACAGCGGCAGCCCACCCTTGCCCCATGCGGATCCAGGGCACATGCCCTCCTGGGAGTTCATGTAGCAGTGGGAACTGCCCACCCCCCCGGACGAGCTGCAGCTCTGTCTCATGCCCTGTCCCACCCCAGCTGTGCAGTGCCTGCCCCAGTCCCAGTGCTGGCCCCACTTCCTCCATCACCATGGGGGCCTCAATCTGCGCCCCCACGCCCTTTCCCTCCCCCTCGCCCCTTCCCCCACAACAGACTTGCCAGCCAGACACTGCTCTCCACACTGGCCAGCTGCACTCCAGCTGTGTGCATGCATGTAGCATTTATTGGCCACATTATCAGCCACATGAGCCAAAAATAGCCATTTGTCAATTCTCTCAGTTTTCCTTATATTGGCACCGATCTGACATGAGATCAGTATATGGGTGCATTTCTACTTCAAGAAGTATTGGACATACTGGAAAGAGTCCAGTGCAGAGAGACAAAAATGATTAGGTAAGCTATACTGGGAAGGGCTGAAAGAACTAGGGTTATTTAGTCTCGGTAAGAGAAGAATGAGGGGAGATTTGATAACAGTCTTCAAGTACCTGAAGGGCAATTACGAAGAAGCTGGAGATAAACTTTTTCTCTGTGGCTGTAGGGGATAGGACTAGGAGCAATGGCCTCAAGCTTCAGCAGAAGAAATTTAGGTTGGAGATTAGGATGAACTTTCTGACTGTCAGGGTTGTCAGGCATTGGAACAGATTACCTAAACTGTGAAATCTCCATCCTTGGAAGTTTTCAAGAGCAGGGTATGCAGATACTTGGTTGGGATGGTTTAGTGAGGATGATCCTGCCTTGAGCCAGGGGGCTGAACCAGATGACCTCGCGAGGCCCCTTCCAGCCCTGCTTTCCTATGATCCTGCAGTTCATATATTTCTCTGGGATTTTGCACACTTAGGGATTGTGGGTTTTAAGCTTGGTCATTTTATTCCTTCGAAGGCAGACTGCACTTGCTGTTGGATTAGAAGCATATGAGTGATATCCTTCTAATCTGTCTGTGTTTCAATCTCACATGAAACTGAAACACTCGAGCTAAGGTAACATATCATTTTAATTATAAAGGATTGGATTTCTCAGATTCTTTCTAATACAAGTCTTAGAAGTAAAATGGATGAGCTGTGTTTATTTGGAGATCGCTGATAAGCCTCTGGTACAACCACATTGAATTATTGACTTACAGAAATTAGAGATGGAAAAATCCTTTAGGTCTTCCAGTCCTCACAGAAAGTATCAGATTGCTTCCCATTTTATATGCTCTGATGTTTTTCCAGTCCAAATAGTTTCTGCACTAGGCTTCAGTGTTGCACTGCTGCTTGGATTAAAACCCTCCATTTTACCAATGGAGTTAAAAAAAGAATAATTAACTGAACACTTGTAGTGCATATAAATTACATTTCCAGGATCCTTTGAAGAAACATTATTTAAAAGATTTTGATTAACTTTCAGAGAAGCTCCTAAAATACTATGGCTGTTCAAGAACAAGGTACCAGGACTTTTGCTCTCTGGGGTAGCTTGGTTTAAACCAGCCTGCTTTTGGCTGTGCCTTTCTGCTCCAAAGGAGGAGCACCTGAAGCTTTTCAGTGGTGAAAGGTAGACTACTGCTTGTACTCATGCATATGTTTAAATTAGACGAGCACAGATTTCCTGTAATGCAGCTGTTCTAACTTCAGACTTAACTGAAGTAAGATGTGCCTTGTACCCATGCTGGGGCTCTTGGCTGAGGGGAGAATTGTTGCAGGATAATCTTTGCCTTTACTTTTCTGTTTCACAGTAAAACCCAAGGCAAAGGCATGTTAAACTTCACCTAGATATCCTTTCTTCCTCCCAATCCTCCGCTACAATCCTTTTTTAGATTGAAGAATGGGGATCAAATACAAGCTGTAGCGTCACTGGGCTCAATTCTGCTGATTCTTTTAGTTGCAGCTGCTTACATCGGAGTCATATTTGTTGCCAACTCTCATCTGATGTCCTGCACCCGTAAGCCAAATTCCTACCAGGCCTTGCTGGTCACATAGATTGGCCTCTGCATTCTGCACTAAGTTCACTTGAAAGTCTTGAGGCTTTGTGTAAGAACGGGAACTGCAGGATTGAGGGTCTAGCTGGAATACTGCCATCATCTTTCGTGATCATTCAGTCCCTTCGCTGATTTACAAAGATGACCGCACCCTTTCAGACCACATGCTGCTGTAAGGTGAAAACAAGAAAGGCACAGCAGTAGTTCCCGTACTTGCATGCCTTGTTTCTAATTGGTTAGAAACTCACACAGGAAGTCTCATGACTCTTGCTGACTTACTGCCAGGTCACCTGAATTTACATAGTAAGGGGAAAAAAAATCCCTCAGATCCCATAGCAAGAAACACAGTACAAAACCCAGAATACGACAGAATGGGCCTCTGCAACACTGACCCAAATACAGCCCCATTGTAAATCTTTCTGAATCCCATTATCTTTATACTGAACACAATGCATTTGATATTATCTTGGTAACCTTGGAAAGAGGAATAGATTTGTTTTTCTTTTTACCAGTCTGCAACAATCATAGCCTTATAGTGCTTGTACTGTTGTGAAACTTGAGGTTGGCTGAACTAGGGTACATCCTGCTTCATTTAATTAAGCTGAGCGGAAGAGCTTCTTTCTAAAGCCAAATACTGGAACTGAGTAAGAGGTAAGGGAGCACATTTGATCGTTCTTTGTGTAGTCTGCTCAGCTCTGTTTAATTAAAATATTTTATTGAGTCCTCCAAGGGCCACTGATCAAAAACAGTAAGTCTCTAAGAAACCCAAATGTTAAGGTTATGTTTATTGAACATTTGATGAAGATGAGAATGAAGTGTAATGTAGCATAGAATAATCTGAGGCTGATTCTTCATGTTGCCATTTATACGTGGAGTCAGCTACTGGAAATAAATTTCTTCTAATCATGTGAGTAAATGCTGTGCCACTTAGTGAGTCCTGATTATTTGTGGTTTGGATGCTGATTCACCACTGGAAAAGTGACTCCATATTTATCATTATCTAATGACAGCAAGACCTCCTGACCACCCTTTGGGAGGAGACCAGGGGAGCTCATTAGTGAAGAGAGGGTTAGACTTTCTGACTTACCACAGGAAGGTAATAAAGTTTTATATGATACAGCCATCTTGACAGTGAAGATTTGGGGTCAGATTTGATTTTACCTATTTTGCATTTAAGTGGAGTTAGGTAACTAAGTACTATCCTGTCTACCTTGTGCAAATTCCTGAAAATCTCTTAATGCATCTGCCTATGTAAAAACTGCCGTCTTCACATTAAGACTGGGTCACAGAGAAGCAGAGAGGAGGAGGACTCACTCATCTTTTGTATTAAGTTTGTCAAGGATTTGAGCATGGTGAGGAGAATTGCTCTTAGGCACCTACATCCACTTACATGCCCAACAAGTGAAATAGAATCTGGCCCTTCATGTCTAGGTGTTTGCTTTCTACAGTGGGCTACTTACCTCTCAATATCTCTATATTTGTTTTTTCAGTCAGATAGATGGACACTTTAATTTACTGAATTTTATCCATTCAGACACCTCTTGTTCTTAAACAAGCTTGTACCCCTCTGCCTTAATCACACAAGTCTTGTATGCTCAACTCATTAATTTTCAACTAAGAAATAACTCCCCACTCGAATCTGAACACTCAGTAGCCCCCATCACACTTGGATATAAACCTCAGAATGGAAAGTCTGGAGATTTAGGTTCCTATTTCTGACTTCACCCAAAACTTCCTTTGTCTCTGGGTAAGTCGTGTGACCACTCTGTGCTTCCACCTGCTGATCTGTAAAATGGGGATATTTTGTTCTAACCACGTAGGGGGATCACAAGGATTATTTTGTGACAGGTTTAAAAACTTCTAGTGATACTTAGGTGGAAAGTACAGTAGGGCTAAGTACAAACAGTCAAAAAACTGGAGGGTGAATTAATTCAATCTTCACAGGTCGGTTTAAGCTCCACAGATTGAACCAATAAGCAAGTGAGCACACATTCACTTTTGATTCCTGAAATGCAGCCACATGGCTGCAATGGCCCAAGTGAGAAGCTGGGGGGGCGGGGCACTAAAGTAAGCCTCCCTGCTCGGCTAGAGCAGACAAGGCTAGCCTGCCCACCCTGCAAGGGGGAGTTGTGGGGGAGGTTCAAAGCATCTTGGGATGCTGGGGGACTGTGAGTTAGCTTGAATCTGGAGTGGATCTGGGACAGAAGTTCAATAAACCGATTTAACCTAAATCAGTTAAGTCTGAGACTACATCCATCCAAGTTTGTTTTATACTGGTTTCAGGCATTTTGAAAGTAGTTTATGTGCTCTGATCTTTCTGATCACTTATACCAGTTTGTTTACAATTTCTGTCCCTAGCCTACATGTGCAAAGCTGTTGGTTTTTTATTAACCAGGCATGGCAC